GGCCCAGACCTAAGTCCCCAGGGAACAAAGGTGTAGAGACAAACTCCCAGGCAGGGGGACAGAAAGCTCAAAGTGCAACAAGGAAGCTGGCCTGGAGGGGACCTTGATCACACTGGGCCTGCAGTCCACAGTGGAATGTGGGGAGAATTTTCAAATTCCTGTAGTGATCCAAGGGAACCTGCCTGCCGTTGACCACTCCCCTTTGTGTGTGTGTGTGTGTGGTGGGGATGAAACGCAAGGACTTGTGCATGCTAGGCAAGGGCTCTACCACTGAGCTCTTGACATAAGTCACATGCAGCAGCCTGGGCCATCTTGGTGACTGATCTCACTATTTACCCCCAAATCTCCCTCCAAGTCCCTCAAGCCCCATCCCAGAGGCACCCAGGCTTCAGGGAGAAGCAGGATTCAGCAAGAAGGGACACCCCCATTCCCAGAGCAGGAGTTAGCACAGAAATGGGAGCTGCCAGGAGGGGAGCCGGACGAAACCCAGGAGGCCTGAGAGTGCCGCCCTGCTCAGTGCGGTGACATGAACTGGGCCATGTCACACAGAACCTCAGCTGCTTTCTTATCCCCTTCATGACGGAAAATCACTGCCTGCAACTGGGGGCGGGGTGGGGCGCAGCCAGCTGGGGTCAGGGCAGCACCCCGCCCGCCTCCACCCTCAGCCCTGTGTGCAGCCCCGTGGGCTCCAGGCTGACTCACCGCAGACAGCTGTGGTTTGGGACGCCTTGGGACGTCAGCCCAGGGGGCAGGAGCGGGCAGCCGGGGGATGCCAGTCAGGAGTCAGGCTGGGGAAGCTGCTTCCTCCCACTACCCATCCTGTCCTGGCCAGACCTGGGAGCTTCCAAGTGGGACAACAGAGACCTTGACCGCTCACGCCATCCGCGTGTGCGCGCATGCGCACACAGCCCCTAACCCTGCAGGGCCCGCGCCCCTAACCCTGCAGGGCCCGCACCCCTAACCCTGCAGACCCGGGGGGACCAGCCCGCAGCGGACACCTTTCCCTAGGGCCCCTTCTAACCCAGAGAACTGCAGGCAGAGAGCATCAAACCCGGCCACAGGGACCTCATGCCTCCCCTCTCCCTTCTTTAAAATGGGCAGCTGTCACTGTCCCTCCCTCAGGGAACCATCATGAGAAGCAGAATTAACCCCTGAGAAGCTCTGCTCTTTTTGTCTAATTTTATTTATTTTTTGCGGTGCTGGGGATGCAACCCAGGCGCTAAGCAAGCACCACCGAGCCACGCCCCCAGCCCCCCAAGATTTTCCGTAACTTCTTCCGCAGTAAGCAGCCCGGGCCAGACGTCAGGAATGTCCATGCCCTCTGGCCTCTTCGGGCCACCCTGCCCACCCCAGCCCTGCTCCCAGCCTCCCTGCCCAGCCTGGGCCACCCGTGTCCTCACCCCCACGGAGCGCCCTCGTCCCCTCCCGGGCCTCCCCATTGTACTTGGAGCCACCCCGGCTCGTTGATCCTGTTTGCCACACGGTTGAGCATCGATTCATTCAATCAAGCAATTATCGAACGCCGCGTGCAGGCCCCGGACGCTGCCCGTGTGGGCTGCTCGGTTTTCTCTCCCGGAGGCGATTTGGAACGTTCCCAAAACAAAAGGCGGAAGGAAGGAAGGAAGTGCCACCCGGTGGACACCGAAAAGATAGCAGGCCTCGTGCCTGTCTCCGGCCACTGCAGAGCCCCCACCCCCTCGCGAGGCCCGGCCACCGGGATTAGCATCGAGCTGGGTTCCGGTGGGGAAACTGAGGCTCTAGGGTGCCCAAGGACACCCAGAGAATCAGAGCAAGGCCAGGATGTTATCCGAGGTCGCTGGCCGGGTGTGTCCCCCCTTGGTTTCCCAGGCTCCTTTACCAAGTGGCTCCCGTTGGGCTCAGCCAGTGTGAGGCGCTGGTAGGGGGCCAGGAGGCAGGGATGGGCTGTGGTCTGTCCCCTGTCACTGCCAGGACAACATTTGCAGAGATCCTTTGTCTGGTTCCCAGCAGCTCTGGGTCTCCAATATTACCCTCTGCGGCACCCTCCACCCTTCCAGAAGCTTCTGCGGCTGTTCATTTCCAGTTTGCCTCACTGCCCGCCCCTCCAAATTTGGTTTTTTAAAAGGTACAGTAGCACACTCCTAGAACCCCCGGCGACTCAGGAGGTGAGGCTGGAAGATCACAAGTTTGAGGCCAGCCTCAGCAGTTTAGCAAGGTCCTAAGCAACTTAGTGAGACCCTGTTTCAAAATAAAAAATTAAATAAAAAGGGCTGGGAATATGGTTTTGTGGTTAAGTGTCCCTGCGTTCCATCCCCAGTACAAAATTGTTTTAAATTAATTATTTTTTAAGACAGGGTCTTACTAAATTGCTAGGCTGGTCTCCCATGTGCTGTTCTCCTTCCTCAGTCTCCTGAGTCACTGGGATTATGCCTGTGCGCCACTCTGTCCAGCTAGAAGTGTATTACTTCTAATAATACACAATATAAAATCTGCCATCAGAACCCTTTTGAATGCACCGTCCATGGCGTTAGGAGCGTCTCCATTGTTGTGCATCATGTCCATCTCCAGAACTTTTCCATCTGCCCACACTGAAACCGTCCCCAGTAAGCACTCAGGCCCCATCCCCTCCCCAGTGGCTGGCTCCCAACATCCTACTTCCTGTCTCCAAGATCTGACCACTGCGCGACCTCCTGTGTGGGGAATGATATTATTCATCTCATCCTCTCTTTTTATTTTTAATTTTTTTGATACTGGAGATTGAACCCAGGGGTGCTCTACCACTTAGCTACAACCCCAGGCTTTCTTATTTTTTATTCTGAGACAGGGTCTAGCTAAGTTGCCAGGCTGGCCCAGACTTGCGATCCTCCTGCATCAGCCTCTCTAGTTGCTGGGATGCCGCTCCTGGCAGGATTTGCCCTTTTGTGCCTGGCTTACTTCACTGAGCATAATGTCCTGGAGGGCCAGCCCTATGTAGGATGCCAGGAATCCCTTCCTTTCAAAGGCTGAGTCACTCTTCCTTGTGTGGAGGGACCACAGCTTGTCCCTCCTGGACATGTGGGTCACTCCCACCTTTGGGCTAGGAATGGTGTTTCTGGGCCAATGTCTGTTCAAGATTCTGCTTTCAAGTCTTTGTGTCTGTACCCCAAAGTGGGATTTCTGGATCCTATGGTAATTGGATGATTTTGCGGGGAGGGGAATCATCATACTGCTTTCCATAGTGGCTGCACCCCTTCAGTTTACCAGCCAAGCTCCAGGGTTCCGATTTCTCCACATCCTTGCCGACGACGTTGGTTATTTCTGTTGTTTCATGTTGTTTTGCCAATTACAGCCATTCCAAGAAGTGTGAGCTGGTACCTCCCTGTGATTTTTTTTTTCTGTTTTGTCTTTTTAGCCTTCCTTTTCCTTTATTCCTCCCACCCCACCACCAGGCCTGGGGATGGAGCCCAGGGCTGTGCCAGGCAGGTGGGCAACGGCTCCACCACTGAGCGACATCCTCAATGCTTAAGTTCTTTGTCTGCTGTAGGCTGTTTCTTTTTCCTTTAAACTTTTTTAGACACAAGGTCTCCCTATGTTGCCCAGGCTGGTCCTGAGCTCCTGGGCTCAGGTGATCCTCATCTCAGCCCTCCAAGTGGCTGGGACTATGGCTGTGTACCACCATGCCCGGCGGGGCTCTTTCTGGCCCCGCCCCAATTGATACGCCAGCGCCACCCAGGCTTTGATTTGTACCTGCTCTGAGACACGAGCTCTGAAGCTCCCTCAAAGCCCAGGCAGGGAATGCTGGGGAGCATGAGAGAGGATGGAGGGGCAGGGTGCTCAGGTGGGCAGCTGTGCTGGTGCCCAGGGACCCGGGACTCTAACCAGACAATCCCTCCATGGAATAAGACCAGGATTGACAGAATTTATGATTGCACTGGGCTGTGAAATCTCTTAATTTTCATATCGAGCACTGAATGTGACCGTCAGTTTTAGCCTTCATCTTAGCTCAACCAGTCTAGAAAAGGGCGTGAAGGGAAAAGTCCTTCAGAAGTGTAGGCCTTGGGCTGGGGGGTGTAGCTGGGTGGTAGAACACTTGCCAAGTGTACAGGGAGTCCTGGGTTCAGTCCCTAGCACTGGAAAAAAAAAAATACAGGAAGAGAGAAAGAGAGGGGGATGGTGTTGATGGGACCAAGTGCCAGAGGGAGGGGGGCTGGGACATTGTTCCTTTAACCAAACACTCAAGTCTCCACCTGTTAGTTCTTTCTCTTGCTTGTGGACAAACTCAAAAGTCACCTCCTTAGAAAAGCCCTCCTTAGATGAAGTCCCTTCTCCCTGCCAATCATTTGTCTGCCCATTGCCGTGTTTAATTTTTTCCAGAACATTCCTTTCAGATACTTATTTGTAATCTTCCCTCTTATTGTGGGGGATTGGTTCAGGACCCCCACAGATGCCAAAGTCTTTGGCATTCAAATCCCTTATATAGAATGGAATCACATCTGCGTAGAACCCACGCAATCCTCCCAACATCTGCTCTAGGTGACTCGTAATACCCACTGCCAGGTGAATGCCAGGGATATCACTGTTACATTTTACTCTTCAGGGCAAAATGTCACACACGTTCAGCACAGATACAACCTTTCTTCCCGAATATCTGTATCTGCAGTTGATTGAATCCAAGGATGTGGAACTTGTACATGGAGGGTTAGCTGTATCTATTTTTCCTCTTCTATCTAAAATGTTAGCTCCATGAAGACAGTAGGACTCAACGTACAGTTGTCCCAAATGCTGAGAACGGTGCCTGGCACACAGTAAGCACTCAATAAATGTTTATCAAGTGAATGGATGGAGCTGGGAATCTGGCAAAGCCCTAACTCACAGAAGCACCTGGTGGAGTATGAAATCACCAGCGAGCGTGACATCACCCACAAGGAATCACAGCACTCCATGAAGGCTGCAGCCCATTCTGTGCTCCTTTCTGGATCTTTCTCTGGAGGACTCTAGTCCACTACTCAATGAAGGAAGAAAGCAAATAGAGGAATACCACATCAGGTTTAGCCAGATGGCTCATTTAAGAAATTTAATCTATCACAGTAAGACATTCAGGATAAAAAAAAAAAAAAATTCTATACAGTGTTTTAAAATGCAAGTGTCCATACCCCTGAAGCAACTACAAGGACACCTGGATGTCACTCTCCTGAAACAAGCTACACGGTCCAGACCGTGTGAATAATCTTTGTACATAAAGATGAGACATCTCAGAGACCACTACCCCTAATGCAGAGCCCCTAGAAATGTCACCAACGATTGCAGCAAACAGGGTTTGCAAAAATAAATAATTTATATATATATATATATATATGATAACATTCAAAAATATACAAAGTGCAAACATAATCACAAGTGCTACCAGCTGCACAGGGATCTATTTACATGCTTCAGAAAGAAAAGACCAGCACAGTTTACTACTGGAGTCACAGTGTTTGATCATTGCGTACTGAGCCAGTAAGAGTCCCTTCAGATGTCTCTGTGTGGGGATCCGGGAGGCTGCCCCTGTCTCTTTGACCCATCCCTGCAACCATGCAATGATAAAATTTGTGGCCATTTCAGGAAGAATCCTGGCTTTTCAAGTTCCATCAAATGACCTAGAGGAGATTCCCTAAAGGGTGAAAGGCTGTGAGTTTCTCGTGCGCAGCCTTTGAGGATCACAGACAGGGAAGTTAATGGCTCTGGGACTTTTGCATAGAAGTGACCTGGCAGATGTTAAGAAAATAAAGCAAGCGGCCTGGGAGCTCAGGGGCAGAGCGCTTGCCTGGCTTGTATAAAATCCTGAGTTTAACCCTCTGCACTGGCAAAAAGGGAAAAAAAAAAAATAATGCAGGAGGGTTTGCCTATTCCAAATATTCGCAATCATGGCTTTGAAGCAGTCCCCAGTGATCTGACCTTTTCTTTCCTCCACATGCATCTTCTCCTGCATTCACCAACACGGGCCACCTCCGGCCAGTGATCCCATCCCAACACACGTGACAGAAAACAGTGCAAAATAACAAGAATGTCACATTTACACAATGTACAACCCTGAACTGAAAAAGTGCGAGGAGATCAAAGGAAGCGAAGCACAGGATCCGGTGGGCGGGATCAGGGCGCAGTCCGGAGTCATGGAGGGCGGAGGCAGGGCGTCCCCAGGAACAAGGTAAGCGGGTGTTTCAGGCACTTCACGAGTATTAAGGGCGACTGGTGACTCAGGCTTTTCCTGGGGAACTGGCAAAGCTTTGGCGAGGGAAAGCGCGGGACGGTGCTGCCTTAGCAGTAGGGGGCGCCCTTCCCCTTCAGGGTCAGGCTCCCTCTGGCAGCAGGGAGGCGGAGTGTGGAGGGGCGTGGGCTGGGGTGGGTGGATGCGGCAGTGCCTGGGACCTTGGAACACCTGCTGTCAAGTTCCAAGCCACTTGCTGCCTCTCCTCCTGTGTTCCACTGTCCTCCGCTTCTTTATGATGCAGGAAAGAAAAGGGCTGAACTTAGAGGAACTGAGACTCATCCCGGCTCCTCGGGTCTTTTCCTCTTCTCCTTCATACGGAAAGAAAAAACCAAAACCCCAAGCAGAACCCGCTCCGCGGCGCTGTCAGAAGCCTGTTCTGCCTCCCAGATGAATAAATATATAAAACAAAGCTCTGGCAGACAGGCACCAGGCTTTGGTGGCCAGCGGCGCCTTTGGTCTTTGCTGACTCTGAAGGAGACGGAAGCCCTGGGGGTGCCAGAAGGGTTTAGAGGAAGTAGGTGATAGCCAGTGGTCAAGGGCCCCGGGAGAAAGTGTCCTTCCTGCCCATGAGTGGCAACAGGTTCCGGGAAGGGACTGGGCTCTCAGCAGCTGTTCACGCCACATCATCCTCCAGGCTGACCATCTGTCTCTGTCAACAAGATGGTAAACACCGGAAATGATCAGTCCAACATTCAGTAAACATGGCCAGAGTCCACCTACTTCTCACCTCCCAGACCAGGCCCTTGACGACTCCACCCTGGTCCCTGACCGTCTCTTTCCTGCACAGCCACCAGAGGGCGTTGGTGAAAACCTGAGGAGAGTTTTCTGCTCAAAACCCTCCATGGCTCCCACCTCACTCACTCCCTGCAGCCCACAAGATCCTCCTGGGTTCTACCCTATCACCTCCCTGCCTTCACTTCCTCCCACTCTCTCCAATCCATCCACCTGGGCCTCAAACCAATAGGCACTGTCCTACCTCAGGGCTGTTGCACTGACCACTTTTGCATTCTGCACATTCCCCACTCACTCAGAGAAGCTTGCTTTGGATTACTTCATCTAAAATCACATCCCCTTGCTCCCAACCCCTCAAAACCCTTCTCTGCCATCCTCTGGCCTTGCACCTGGTAGGCAAGTCCTCTTCCACTGAGCTGCACCCTGGCCCTTGACTTTCTTTTTCTCTATCACCAGCTGACTCCTCTATTTGCTCATCCGATGTCCCTCTCACTCCCAGTCAAGAAACTCAGCACTCTGAGGGGAAGGCCCAATGCTTGGTAGGCTTGAGTGGGCACATGGACAGAAGAGTCTACCCTGGGCCTGCCTTGGCCCTCGAGGACCTTTTGCCAAGGGCTGGCAGGGGCCCCAGGCTCCGGCCTCCCTAAGCCTCTCACCGAGGGGTAGGTGTAGCCGTCCTGGCTGCGGCAAATGTGGACCTGGTCCTCCGTGGTCTTCTGGTACACGGGGTTGTCAAAGTTGATGCTGTTGATGTTTTTCAGCCGCCAGTTCTTCCAGACGAGGAAGGCCCCAAAGCAGAGGAGGACAAGCAGCACTGTGGGAGGGGAGAGTGGCCCTGTCACGTGGCTGGCCCTGAGACTGGGACCTGCTTAGTGGCACTGACAACACCTATCCCAGGCCTCGAGCCTGATAGTGATTTTGTTCTGAATGCAAAGCAGCCCTCTCTCGTTGTTCAAAGGGAAACCCTCCACAGACAGGACGGAGGTCTACTTGACGCCACTGGATGAGCCTCGAGCCAGAGGTAGCTGCTTGTCCTCGATTCTTCCGCGATTAACTGCACACTGGGGAACTGCTTTTTTAGAAATGGGATTTTCCTCTGCATATGGGGCCATAATTCACTCTTCTTTTTTGCAGAGATGAGTGGAATGCAGAGCCTCAAGCACGTCAGGCTGAGCTGTGCCTGACCTGGCCACTTCATTTGGCCTCAGTCGGTGAGGGGGGCAGGTGGCTCTTTGTCTCTTGCACAGCCAGTGCTGGGAGGTGCTTAGCTCCTTGCTCTCTGAACGGGGCAGCCCCGGCAACCCTGCCTTTGCCCCTGGGTCCCACAGTGCCAACCACAGTGGATCCAGGGGACAGGCAAAGGCTCACTCTGCCTGGATTTTATGATTCTAGAGGCCTGGGCTCTGCTGGGAAGACCCCCAGGTGGGTGTTACCCCCAGTCTGGAGGGTCCGACCTGCCATGTCTGTCAACCCACAACTGGGCACCAAAATTCAGGCCATGGGTCTCTGCAAGTGTGCTAGGGCCCCCTCAACAGGATTTCCTCAGAAAAAGAAAGGTCACTGCACTGTTATTAGCAGGGGCGAGAGGGACGGTGTTAGGTCACCTGCAAACGCCCGCATTGGCACAGCGGAATCCTCAGGTGTGCTTGAGGCCCCCTGGGAGCACCTACCCAGGCTGCCCTCTCCCTAGCTGGCACCTCGGCTGCCTGACTGTGCCCCTTGGCAGTCCCAAGGGGTAAGACGTCGCTTCCTGGTTCTGTCCCCAGTACAGGTCTGGAAGTGGGCTCAGTACACAGTCGGTGCTTAATTATATTGGTTAGATGAATGAAGCTGGGGCTGTGGCTGGGTTTAGAGGAAGCAGGTGATAGCCAGTGGTCAAGGTGGTGAACAGGCCACATGGTGGGCTGCTCCATGCTTGAGGGAGGTGGGGGGCCCAGCAGGCTGAGCGTGGGGTCACAGGGGACTTGCGCTGGGCCATGCTTACCAATGGGGAGGACGATGGACAGAGCCCCCACGCTCCGAGGCTTCTCCTCCTTCCCTCTGTCGGCAACTTCAGCCAGGACTGCGGGGGAGAAAGGACACAGTGAGGCCCAGATACGAAAGGCATCACATAGCAGAGCCAGTGGTCATGCAAAGGAATGGCTGACACATCCCATCAGCCTGTTCAAGTTCAAGGGAACATGGAGGCCCTCCCAAGTTCAAGTCAGGCCATGCTGGCTTACTCATGAGCACAGCTGCCCTCAGCACCCACAGGGGGTGGTTCCAGAAACCTCTACAAACACCAAAATTCACAGATGCCCAACTCCCTTATAGAAAAGGGCGTAGTTGGGCTTGGGCTGCAGCTCAGCAGTATAGCGCTTGCCTAGCTGTGTGAGGCAGTGGGTTCCAACCTCAGCACCACATAAAATAAAGATATTGCATTTATTTATAACAAAAAATATTTTTTTTTTAAAAAAGGAGTAGTGTTTGCCTAGAACATATGCACACTCTCCCATGAATTTTATTATTTTTTAATTAAAAATGTTTCTTTGTAGTTGTAGACGGACATCATGCCTTTATTGTATTTGTTTATTTTTATGCGGTGCTGAGGATCAAACCCAGTGCCTCACACATGCTAGGCAAGCGCTCTGCCACTGAGCTACAGCCCCAGCCCTAATTTATTTGTTCTAATTAGTTATACACGGCAGAAGAATAGATGTAGACACTTTGATATAGCATATACCTCCCATGTATTTTACATCATCTCAAGGGACAATGTAATTCCTGATACAATGAAAATACTCCTGTACACAGTTGCTGTCCTCTATTGTTTAGAGAATAATGATGAGGAAAAGCATAGTCTGTATGTGCTCAATAGATTGAACCCAGAGGTGCTTTACCACTTAGCCTCATCCCCAGCCCTTTTTATGTTTTATTTTGAAACAAGGTCTCACTAAGTTGCCAAAGCCCTCACTAAATTGCAGAGGCTGGCCTCCAACTTGCAATCTCCCTGCCTAAGTCTCTCAAGTGGCTGGGATTATAGGTGTGTGCCACCGTGCCTGGCAGATACAATTTAAAATTTTTGTTGTTGTTGTTGTTGAACTGGGCGTTGAACCCAGAGGTACTTTACCACTGAGTCATTTTTATTTTTCATTATTGAAACAAGATCTCTAAGTTGCCCAGGCTGGCTTCAAACTTGTGATGCTCTGCCTCAGCTTCCCCAGGCGTTGGGACTGCAGGTGTGCACAACCACACCCAACATCTTGAGATTCAAAAGTTTTCAATCTGCAGTTGGTGGAATCCACAAATGTAGAACATGACGATATAGTGAAAGAACAGGTTGAGTAAAATTCGGGTTGTAAAGAATCAGGTCAAGGGCTGGGGCTGTGGCTCAGCGATAGCGCGCTCGCCTGGCATGCATGCGGCCCGGGTTCGATCCTCAGCACCACATACAAACAAAGATGTTGTGTCCGCCGAGAACTAAAAAATAAATATTAAAAAAAATTCTCTCTCTCTCTCTCTCCCCCACTCTCTAAAAAAAAAAAAAAAAGAATCAGATCAAGTAAAATTCTAGGGGCTGGGGATGTGGCTCAGTAGTAAAGTGCTTGCCTAGCATGTGTGAGCCCTGAGTTCAATCCCCAGCACCGCCAAAAAAAAAAAAAAAAAAGAAGAGAAGTGTCTTCTAGGAGCGAGAGGTTCACCTCAGAGGTAGAAAGCTTGCTTTAGCTTCACATTGATGAAACATCTCTGAGATGGCAGAGGGTCCTAAATCCACTGATGGATTCTTAATGTTCGGTGAGGTTATTGGTGGAAGTTTCCTCCCACCGCCCACCCTGGGACCATGGATTTAAACCAGGGGTACTCTACCACATCCACCGCCCTTTTTAAATTCGAGACCAAGTCTTGCAAAGTTGCCCAGGCTGGGCTTGGGCTTGCAAACCTCCCTCTCATCTGGCTGAGATTACACAGATGCGTCACTGCACCAGGCTTGAGGGGGTATTTTCTAGGAGTTCCCCTCTCCACGAAGCAAAAAGGTTTCCCGTTCTCCCTCAGGCACAGGAGTTCCTGTTTTATTTCCTTAATGGCTGAACAAAGCCTTCAGCTACTGTGAAAGGAAATTTAAAAAAAAAAAAGATCTGAAACTTGCTGATGTGCTTTTTTTTTCCTGCTCTGAGTCAAGAGTTCCGTTTCTCTGCAGCTGATGATGGGTGGGCACCCCCTGGTGGATAAATGGATGAGCTACTGATTAATTCCCTGACCAGCTGGGTTCCAACACTGGGTTGGGTGAGGACAGCCAGGCTCTGGCCACAGCCACAAAATGGAAGGTGGAGCCAAAAAGCTCAGTACAGCATCAATGGAAGTTGGTTCCAGGTTTACCCCATCCCCTCTGCAGACACCAAAACGCAAGGATGCTCTAGCACCTTATATAAAATAAGGTGTTATTTGCATGTCACCTGGGCACATCCTCCTGTGGACTTTAAGGCATACCTAGATGACTTACAATACCTGATACAATGTAACTGTTATTGGTGCTGGGGATCAAACCCAGGGCCTTGTGCATGAAAGGCAAGCACTCCACCAACTGAGCTATAGCCCCAGCCCTCTAAACCATTTTTATACTGTATCATTAGGGACTAATGACAAGGAAAATATCCATATATGGTCAGTACAGATGTAATTATTTTTTCCAAACATTTTCAATCTGTATTTTACATTGAATCTGAAAATGTAGATGTAGCATAGAGGGCCAACTATAATGCAATACTGTTTTTTTGGGGGGGTACTGGGGCTTGAACTCAGGGGCACTCTACCACTGAGCCACATCCTCAGCCCTATTTTGTATTTTATTTAGAGACAGGGTCTCACTGAGTTGCTTAGTGCCTTGCCTTTGCTGAGGCTGGCTTTGAACTCATGATCCTCCTGCCTCAGCCTCCCAAGCCGCTGGGATTACAGGTATGCATCACAGCACCCAGCTGCAATATTATTTTAATGTTATTTTTAAATACCATAATGGCTGCAAAAACTCCATGATGAATAAAAATCATCCAAATTTTCCAGAAGACAAGATCTGGGAGCTGGGATGGATCTCAGTGATAAAATGCGTTCAGTATGCCTGAGGTTCCATCCCCCCCGCAACGTAAATCAACAAAAGGACATGACATATACCTACAATCCCAGTGGTTTGGGAGGCTGAGGCAGGGGGCTCACAAATTCAAGGCCAGCCTCGGCATCTTAGTAAGACCCTGTCTCAAAACAAAAATAAAAAGGACTGGGGGTGTGCCTCAGTGGTACAGCACTTGCCTAGCATGTGCGAGGCCCTGGATTCGATCCTCAGCACCACATATAAATAAATTAAATAAAGGTCCATCAAAAACTAAAAAATAATAATAATAATTAAAAATAATAATAATAAGGGCTGGGGTTGTGGCTCAGCAGTAGAGCACTCATCTAGCACGTGCGAGGCCCTGGATTCGATCCTCAGCACCACATAAAAATAAATAAAAATAAAGGTAAAAAAATAAAATAAAAAATTAAAAACATAATAATAATAAAATAAAATTAAAAACTAAACAAAAGGCCTTGCCTAGCATGTGTGAGACCTTGGTTCAAACCTCAGCACCAAAAAACTCTGCATTAAACTGTTATTGGATTTCTGAGTTGTTTTTTGTTTTTTGTTTTTTTTTGTAGTACTGGGGATGGAACCCAGGGGCAATCCTTTTTTATTTTGAGACAAGGTCTGGCTCAGTTGCAGGGTTGGCTTTGAACTTGCGATGCTCCTGCCTCAGCCTCCCAGTGACTGGTATTATAATGGCCCCTGGATGGATTCCTGGTCCCAGTCCTGTCCAACTCAGGGTCAACAGCGCACGTTCTCCCCACCTTTTAGCTCACTTAATCCCCAGGAGATGGGCAGATACTGTCACCAGAACCATTTTATAGGGAGGGAAACTGAGGTTCCAGGACATACAGCCCAAATTAGGGATGTCCTTTCGGGGCCAGGACTCCACCCTCACTCCGTTTCTTCACCAAGTCGCTTGCAGCCACTGAAGGGGCCCATCTGAATCCTCCTCACCACAGTGGGAGTCAGGGTGGGCGCAGCCTTTACCTTGGTGGGACATGGTCGCCGACTCCACGGTGGTGAGCCCAGGAACAGCCGCAGGCCGCCAGGGGGCGCTGGAAGCAGGTCGGTGGTCTGTGGGCTTGGGCCTCCTGGCTGTGGAGCTGACCCTGGGCCTGACGGTGGACGGCCCCAGGGTGGTCACTACAGGCTCCGCCTCTGCGGGAAGACATAGGCATTTCCTGAGTGCCACGTGCCTGAGCACCACTCCGATGGCTTTGTGGTCCTCATGACGAGTAGGCAGCGAGTGCCATCAGCCACCAACGCACGGGATGTAAACACCCATCGCTGTCTGTGCTGTTCTTCCAGCACTATTAGTGGGACACTAGGTTTGCAGGTGTTTGTAGGTGGGAGTTGCTACGGACACCTCGGCCCCTGCTGTGGTTTCACTGTGTCCCCCCAATTTGTATGTTGGGAACTTCACTCCAGAATTCGTATGTTAACTGGATTTGGAGATGGGGCCTTCGGGAGGTGAGTAGGATTAGATGAGGTCATGAGGGTGGGACACCCCCCGACACCAGAGGGACCTCCCCATGACACTGGTGCCTTTATAAGAAGAGGAAGAATTGGGGGCGGGGATGTGGCTTAGTGTTAGAGCCTGGGTTCAATCCCCAGTACCACACACACAAAAAAAAGGGCCAGAAAGCTGAGCACACTGTCACAGTGTGACCTCTGTCTCACTGTGTGACGCCCCACATGTTATGATGCAGCAAGAAGTCCCTCACCCCTGCTCTGGGACTTCCCAGCTTCCAGAACTAAGCCACATTTCGTGACCTATGATGCCCTGTTCTCCCAGAGCCCAGATGAGCAGAGCAAGGCTTGGAAGAACCATGCCTACCTGAGAGGCAGCTCCTCATGTCCCTGGCGAGCAGCATACCATCTGGGCAGACACAGGTGAACTTGGGGGAGTGGGGGTTGATTTGTGGGGCTGGCAGACACAGGTACTGGCAGCCACCATTGGGGAGGGTTGTCCTCTCACACCAGTTCACACCTGGGGAAGAAGAAAAAAAGATGAGGGGAGAATGAGATACCATCAGAGACCAGAAAGGTCTAGAAAATTCCAGGGCACTAGCAGGGAAATGTCTTTCTCAGGGGTGGGGGTCGGTGGTGTGCAGCCTGCCCATCATTACCTCTGGGCTGTGTGACGTTGTGGAACAGGACAATGTCCTCGGGGGACAGCAGGTTTTCCGCCACTAAGTCAATATCCAAGCCTGTGAGGCGATTGGCGCTGAAGATGGCTTCGTTCATGATGTCAGTCCAGAATACCTTGTCCTGTACGAAGGTAAGGAAGATGATCCATCCCATTAGCCACTGGGACAGGACACAGACCTCCGCTCCCTCTTAACTTCTGGGGCTTTTGGGGGAAGAAGCAATACTAGGTCACAGCATCAATCATGGCAAAACACATTTCCATTTTAGGCTTTCCTCGGGGGACGATGCTAGGTAGCACCCAGGGCTAGCATCGTGCATGCTAAACATATGCTCTTCCATGTGGCTGCACCCTGATCCTCATTGCCACTATTTTTTGGGGGTGGGGGAAACCAGGGATTAAATTCAGGGGCACTCAGCCACTGAGCCACATCCTCAGCCTTATTTTGTATGTTATTTAGAGACAGGGTCTCACTGAGTTGCTTAGCACCTTGCTAAGTTGCTGAGGCTGGCTTTGAACTCGCGATCCTCCTGCCTCAGCCTCCCAAGCCACTGGACTTATAGGTGTGCACCACCACGCCCAGCTCATCAACACTATTTTTAAGTGTAAAATTCACCAGTGTTAAGCACATTCATTGTAAAACCAACACTGCATCCATCTCTTGAACTTTCATCAAACTCAAACTCTGTCCCCATTAAGATTTCTAATCCCCACTCCCAGTCTCTGGCACCCACCACTCTACTGCCTGTCTCTGTGAATTTGCTTATTTTAGCTCCCTGCTATCAGTGGACAACGGGATTATTTCACTGAGCATGATGTCCTCAAGGCTCCTCCCCAATGGAGTATGTATCAAAATTTCCTTCCTTTTTTTTTTTTTTTTGGATACTGGGGATTGAACTCAGGGGCACTCAACCACTGAGCCACATCCCCAGCCCTATTCTGTATTTATTTTAGAGACAGGGTCTCACTGAGTTGCTTAGCCCCTCGCTTTTGCTGAGGCTGGCTTTGAACTCGCGATCTTCCTGCCTCAGCCTCCCAAGCCGCTGAGCTTATAGATGTGCACCACCATGCCCAGCAAGATTTCCTTCCTTTGAAGGCTGTGAGCATGGGTAGCACTGTGCTCATGTACTCACCAGTGGATACCCGGCCTGCTTCCTCCTTGTGTCTATTGTGAATAATGCCACTATGAACGTGGGGGTACAAATAAAGCATCATTTCATTTCTTTAGAGCAGGTTTCCCCTCTAAGGCTCTATTAGGAACCTGACCTGTCCCCATTCTCGCATTTGTTGAGAAGAAAACGGACGTATCTTCAGTTCTAAGACCTCTCCTTGGTCAAGAGCAGCTTTCCTAGTTAGTCTTGGCTTGGAGGAACTAGACAAGGCGTGCCCACCATTACCCACACGCTTAAACCTCCGACAGTTAAATCAATGAAAAATAAGCTGTGAATTCCTTCCAGGTCTCACCTCAAAGATGGCCAAGGAGAAGGGGTGGGCCAGCCGCTTCTCGTCCTCCAGGATGGTCTTCCGGTTTCCCCCATTGACATCAATGCTAGAGATTGAGTGGAGTTTGGAGTCTACCCAATAGAGGCGGCCATTGGAGAGATCTGGAATGCACAGATGGACAAGGGGCGGTCACATGCAGATACTCGGTACCAGCAGCAAGAATGAGAGGATCATCAGATAGGCCAGAAAATTCCAGGGCACTGTCCATTTTTGGGTGGAGGGTGCAGCCTTGGAATTGGGCCACTCTGCTCCCCCTAGAAGAAACCCCCATAGAAATAGTAGAAAAGAAGCTCCCAGAGAAGCAGCCCCAACCACATGAGCCTGAAGGCACTGGCTTTCGCCCCAGTGCCTCATGGCACATGCTGACATCCCGGGTCAGGAGGAGGGAAAACTGTGGGTTAAACCCCAGGGAGCTGGTGGGCTTGTGTGGGAGCAACTGGCCACTACTGTGTCCCCCAGATGGGGTCCGACTCTGGTGGGGCCAAGCATCCCTTCAACGTACCCAGTGTGATGCCGTTAGGCCACTGGATGTCTTCTGTCACCAGCGAGTAGACATCCACACCATTCAGGCCCCCTTTCTTGATCTTGGCAGGGGTGCCCCAGTCTGTCCAGTACATAAAGCTGGGGGGACAACAGGGAAAACAGAGATGAGGATGCTCCTCAGGACAGGTTCCTGCCAACACTGAAGGCGAGAGTCTGCCTAAGTGGAGCCAAGGCTCCGGATAAGGCCCCACTGGGGACTCCAGATTCTTTTCTTTTTCTTTTTTCCTCCCAAAATGGCCAGGAGGGACTTTAGAGTGTTTGTGTGGGCTGGGGTGTGGCTCAGTGGTGGAGCCCTCTCCTAGCCTCATTAGGCCTTGGTTTCCATCCCCAGAACTGCTTAAAAAAAAAAAAAAAGGCAAAAAACAACAAAATAAAAAAATTCTGTAGTTTCAGGAGATTCTGATGCTAAAATCAGGGAGGGGGCTCTGGAATATGCACCTCAATTCATAATATTTTATTTGCCTTTTAAATATTCTTTTAACTTTTAAATTGTGGTAAAATTTACATAACATAATTTATTTTTATTTTTTTGTTACCAGGAATTAAACTCAGGGGCACTCGACCACTGAGCCACATCCCCAGCCCTATTTTGTATTTTATTTAGAGACAGGGTCTCACTGAGTTATTTAGTGCCTCACTTTTGCTGAGGATGGCTTTGAACTTGTGATCTTCCTGCTTCTGCCTCCTGAGATACTGGGATTACAGGCATGGGCCACCAGGCCAGGCAATTTTTTTTTTTTTTTTTAATGCTCTCTGTGCACATATACTTTGACATGTTGTCCAACTTCTACAAATTAAACCCACAGAAAAACATGGCCTATCCAGTGAATAAACCACGTTTCACAGGAAGGATCTCAGACATGGGAACTGCATAGCTAGTAGAGAATGAAATGCATAATTTGAGTAAAAAGAAACAAGAGAGCAAAATGTAGCTGTTCCCCCTTATCCATGTTTGTGCTTTCTGTAGTCAATGATGGTCTAAAAATATTAAATAGAAAAATCCAGAAAGAAACAATTCCTATGATTTTTATGAGTAAGGTGATGAAATCTCAAACCATCATGCCCTGTCCTGCTGGAGACATGAATTGTCTTTTTGTTTATTGTGTCCATAGTGTATATACTACCCACCCGTTAGTCCCTTGGTAGCTGTCTCATTATCAAATCAACTATTAAGGTGTCAGTGTTTGTGTAAGTAACCTTTACACAGTGGCCTAATGCCATGTCACAATCCCTACATTATTCACCTATCTCTTCACATAGGAATTAAAAAAAAAAAATTTTTTTTGTAGTTGTAGATGCCTTTATTTTATTTGGTGTTGAGGATCGAACCCAGTGCCTCACACATGCTAGGCAAGTACTCTACCACTGAGCCACAGCCCCAGTCCCCACATAGGAATTTTTAAAACCTTATTTTATTTATTAGTTTTATGTGGTGTTGAGGATCGAACCCAGTGTCTCACCATGCACGGTAAGCTCTCTACCACTGAGCTACAACCCCAGGTCCTTCACACAGGAATTTTATCATCTCATATCACTGCAAAAAGGATGCATTCATTCACAAAAGTTTATTATAGTACATTGTTCTAATTATCTTATTATTATTTATTAGTTTATTTATCTCTCTGTGCCTAATTTGAAATTTGAACTTCATCACAGATGTGTATGTCCAGGAAAAGAGAGGGGTCAGTACTGAGCATGGTTTGCCATCCACGGGGGTCCTGGAATGAACCACCTGAGGATAAGCGGGCACTACGTACACACATGTCTGCACACTACTCGTGCCTGAGTGCAGTGGGACTGGCACGCTCTCTCCTTCTTTCCTGTAGATTGTGTGGCCAAACCCAGGTGGCCTCGCCCCTCCATCCAACAGGTGCCCACACCCCTGGGCATGTTTTCTTGTGGGTGGATCCAGGCCCAGCCTGACTCTGCCCTCACCCACAGGCTCTGCCCGCCCAGCCACTCTCTGACCTGCCCTTGCAGATGCCACGTGAGGACAGCTAAGTGAACCTTCTCCCACATCCTCTGCACTGGGCCAAATGTACCCCCACTTCCAATTGTGGTGCCAGGATGGGTGCCACCCAGATCACCAACACACCACTGCAATTGTGAAATGAGTCCTGTCACATGCCAGGTGGCAGAGGGAGCCTACTGGGCAGAATATGCAGTGGGCAGGGGACAGGGGCAATGCCTCCTGCCAGGGGACACTGGTCAGTGGCTGAGGTGCTGAGTCAGCCACGGGCACCTGGTCTTCACAGGGTAGTGACCTTCGCCCAGCCACCCTTTGCCAGAGCTTCGCAAACACAGGGCTGCCCAAACCGACTTAAAGAAGGACCTTCGTGTCTTCCCTCTCTAACCTTATCCTGGCCCAGGAGATTGACACCAAATACTTAAGCAAATTCGTTTTTTAATTTCTCACTTAATTTTCTTTCTTTCTCTTTGTTTGCGGTTCCTGGGATGGAACCCAGGGCCTCGCAGATGCTAAGTAAGGCCCTACTGTTGAGCTGCAGCCCCAGCCTTTTAAATTTTATTTTGAGATGGGGGTCTCATTAAATTACTGAGACTGCCCTGAACTTGCACCTTCCTGCCTCAGCCTCCTGAGTAGCTGGAATCACAGGCACGCACCCCTGTGCCTGGACCTGTTTCTTTACAGACAACTAGAGGCCCTGATTCCACCTCCTGTCCACAGCGTAGGACAACCCCATACTTCTCTCAAGTGCAAACACTGCCTAAACAGCGGCCTAAACAGCTCTGCGGCCTGCACGTTCACCCTTCATTCCCCTGCATCCCCCCACCTTTGTAAGCACGCACCCGTGGACGGGATCCACCACGATGGCCCTCGGCTTGGAGCCGATCTCCTGGAACAGCGTTCTCCTCTTCATGCCCTTAGTGTCGGCCACGGACACGGTGCCCAGGACAGAATCGGTCCAGTAGATGTTGCTGTGGATCCAGTCCACAGCCAGCCCATCAGGAGCATGGAGGTCACTGCCGATGACAGTGTCATAGGTGGACAAGCTGGGGGCTCTGTCAATCTGGGTGCTAAGACAGGAGGAGGGCAGACCGTCAGGGCCAGGGGCCCCTCCTCACCTGGGGGTCAGGCAGGCCGGAGGGGCCGAGGCTCACCTGTAGATCTTTCTTTGGGACAGGTCAGACCAATAGATTCTGTTGCTGGCCACCTCGGTGTCTAGGGCAACCACGTTCTTGAGGTTTGGGATGAGGCTGGTGTACTCGCTGCGGTCCAGGGTCATCTTCCTCACCTCGTGGCGGTTGGTGAAGAAGAGGTAGGCGATGGAGCCTGGGGAAGGGCAGGGCGGTCAGGGTGGTGAGAGACCCCACTTGTCCCTCTGCAGGGTGTGGCTGGATCGGAGAGGCACACCCAGAGTAGCAGGGTGGAAATCCCCGTGTACTAGCCAAGTCACACCTGTGGTCTCGGTCACCCTGCAGGGAAGGCCCCACCCAGGGGTAGCCAACTCCTAGAAATAGGAAATGACTCACTTTGGGGCCAAAGTGAGCCCACATCGCCATCAACTCGGCTATGGGAACCCTGACATCTAAGGCCTCTCTGCCTGCCCTAGTCACTCCACAGCCAGGAACCAGGCAGCTTAAGACAGTGCCAGGCCCCAGATTGCATGGAAATGATTCACACTTGTGAATCCTGAGCCTGCTCACAGGACCTCACCCATTCATGCCTTTGCCCATAGACACCCTGGGTCCCATCGCTGGCACATTGAAAAAAAAAAAAAAAAGTAATGACCTTGCCTAATGTTTACTAGGTTTTTTAATGGAATCCTTATATTCCTGTGAAGCAGGTTTTAGTTAATTTCTCTTTACAGATGAGAAGATTGAGGCTCAGAGAGGGAAAGTGATTTGCCCAAGATCACATACCTAGCGGGGGACCGAGCCAGGATTCAAACCCAGGTCTGCCCAATTCTGGGAGCTGTGCCCTAACCGTGACACCAATATTCACCAACAAACGAACTATATCTTGCAACTGGACTTCTCAAGACAGCCCTTCCCAAGTCTCTACTTCAACTCCACTGAAATCTTTGTAAAATGCTAACATCACAATGGAGTTCAAAGCACAACCTCCAATCCTGAGGGATTTTGTGGGAGGAACTACATCATCCCCCCACCCCAGCAGAACCAGGAAACACATGGGAGGTACTGAGGCCGAGAGCCATGGAAACACGTGATAGCAGCAACTAATATGCCAGTGAAGGCCCTGGGGTAGACAGAGGCAGCCCATAAAAAGTTTTTCTTATTTTCTCCCTAATACTGGGAATTAAAACCAGGGGTGCACTACCACCAAGTTTTACCCCCAGCCTTTTTTTTTTTAATTCATTTTTTAATAATTTTTTCCCCTTTTATTCCCCAGTGCTGGGGACAGAGTCCAGGGCCTCATGCATGCTAGGCAGGTGTTCTGTCCCTGAGCCGCATCCCTAGCCCAATGTTTTATACGTTTTTCTTTAAATTTAAAATTTTTTCAAATTTTATTTGATGGTCTCTTTTTTTTCCAAAAATTTTTTTTTGGACAGGGTCTTGCTAAATCATCGAGACTGGCCTCAAACTGGCGATCCTCCTGCATCAGCCTCCCAAGTCTAAGGGATTACAGGTCTGTGTCACTGAGCCTGGCTGTTATTTCTGCAAAATCCAGCCTCCTTGTAATTAGATTGCTAGAACAGAGCATGAAGCAAAGGGCCTTTGCATGTGCAGACAACTCAACTCCCTCAGGACACTTGCACGTGCAAGCAAGGGATCCCTGGATGAAGGGGATTCTAAGAATGGACACACAGCAGTGATTATAACCCAAACTTCAAGATGGAAAAGAGAGTTGAGGTTGTGGCTCATTGGTAGAGTGCTTGCCTAGCATGGGCGAAGCACTGCGTTCGATTCTCAGCACCATATAAAAATTACTAAATAAATAAAGGTCCATCAACAATTAAAAAAAAAAAAAAGATGGAAAGGAAATCCAATTACAGTGCTCCTTTTGTAGGAGTGGATTCTGCATCTTCAGGTTCAACCAATTGTAGATTGAAAACATTTGGGGTGAAAACGCCTCTATACCAAACGCAAATTATTATTATTATTTTTTATCTCATTCCCTAAACAAAACAGTGGAATAAACACACACACAGCATAAGCACACACACAGCACTAACATTGTATTAGGTATTCTAAGTCATCTAGAGATAATTTCAAGTCTCTGTGGGATGTGCAGGTTCTATACAAACATTATAACAGTTAGTTCATAAGGGCCTTGAACTTCCATGGATTTTGGTAGCTGCAGGGGGTCTTGGACCCAATCAGTCCTCCACAGATACAGAGAGATGACTTGGTTTCTACCATTTTGTTCCATGATGTGCTATTCTGTTTTGGTCTTTGTTTTAAATAAATTTTGTTTCCTTGAGATACATTCTTTTAGTTATTAAAAACAGCTGGAAGGCTGGGGATGTGGCTCAAGCGGTAGCGCACTCGCCTGGCATGCGTGCGGCCCAGGTTCGATCCTCAGCACCACATACAAAAAACAAAGATGTTGTGTCCGCCGAAAACTAAAAAATAAATATTAAAAAATTCTCAAAAAAAAAAAACAGCTGGAGAGCTGGGGCTGGGGCTCAGCGATAGAGAAGCTCACCTAGCATATGCGAGGCCCTGGGTTTGATCCTCAGCACAGCATAAAAATAAATAAATAAAATAAAAGTATTGTGTCCAACTACAACTAAGATATAAATATTGAAAAAAAAAAAAAAAGAGCAGGAGCCAGGCAGGCATGTGGTGCACACCTATAATCCCAGTGACTCAGGAGGCTGAGGCACGAGGGTCACAGGCTTGAGGCCAGCCTCAGCAACGTGGCAAGGCCTTAAGTAAATAAGTGAGACCTTGTCTCAACATAAAAATAAAAAGAGCTGGGAATGTGACTCAGTGACAAAGCACCCCTGAGTTCAGTCCTCCACAAAAGAACAGCTGGAGGGGGCGTGGGCAGTTCATGCCATGGCTTTCCACCCTTTGCCCCCTGAAATCCATCCCTAACTTGTCCTGGAAGCTGAGCACTGGTTCCTATTAAGCTGGCAGGGCTGGGTCCTGCATGCTGTCCCCTGGTCACACGTGGCAGGTTCCTGGCAAGCCCGAGTCCCACCTGCCAGAGGTCCCTGCTGATTTTACCCTGTGCAAAGTTCAGGTGAGGAAATGCCGCCCCAGCGCGGCCTCCGTGCTCACCGGTGGCCTTGCAGGTCTGGGTGCGGGGGTCCATCTGGAAGCCCTCCTCGCACTTGCACTTGTAGCTACCCTCCAGGTTCACACAGAGCTGACTGCAGGTGGCAGGGTCCTGACACTCGTCGATATCTGAGTGGAGACAGAGACACATGAGGTGTCACCTTTGAGGGTGGCAGATGGAGGGATGGAACCAGCACCCCAGAGGCAGCTAAGGAACAACCCATCCGACCTGGGAAAGAAAAAAGTGACTGTCATCTCCCAAAGTGACCCGACCTCACCGTTCACTTCAGGGGCCCAGGTCAGAGGGCCGAGTTACGTCAGCAGAGATTTCCTAACGGTGAAGCCCGGAGGGAAGCTCCTCCGAGGAGTCGAACGGTTACTGACGGTCAGTCTGTGCCCAGGGTTCCACCCACAGAGTGTCCGCCCAGCAGCTGGGGACTGCCGTCCCACCCATTTCACAGACAGGGAGACTGAGGCAGAGCACTTGGTGGGCACAAGGCTGAGGAGGCCCAGAGCTCGGCCCTGCTCGGCAATCACCTTCGCATCTGCGCTGGTCCACGAGCCGGAAGCCATCGGGGCACAGGCACTCGTGGCCGATCTTGAGGTCATTGCAGATGTGCGAACAGCCCCCGTTGTTGTCCAAGCACTCGTTGGTCCCTGCGCCGAGGGAAGGACACACACTGGTCACCCTGGAGCCTCGAGCCTCTCACTCCCCCACCCCTGCCACTGCGGAGGAGTGCCACAGCCTGACTCGTGAGAGCACTGAGATGGCACTGTCACTCGGTTTAACACAGTGAGCCCTGGGGACAGAGTGCTGATGGAAGGAAACGCGTCACCAAAGGCCAGGTGCTGAGGATCCCACTCCTGAGAGATCCACAGAGACAGGAAGTAGAAAGGCAGGTGCTGGGGAGGGGACGGTGGGTGAATGAGGACAGAGGTTTGGTTTTGAAAATGAAAAAACGTGCTAGGGAGGGAGGGTGGGTGGTCACACCTGGGTGAATGCATTCAATGCCACCAAACATACACTTCAAAATGGTTCATGTGGCCAGAGGGCGCAGTGGTGCAGGTCTGCAATCCCAGGGACTCAGGAGGCTGAGACAGCAGGATTGCAAGGTCAAGGCCAGCCTGGGAAATTCAGTGACTCTCAAAAATGATAATTAAAAAAGGCCGGGGTGTGGCTCAGTGGGAATGGGCCCCTTGGTTCAATTCCCCACACCAAAAAAAAGGCCGATGGGGCTGGGGTGGGTCTCCGCTGCCCAGGCTGGCCTTGACCTTGCACTTGGGACCCGCCTGCCTGGGTTCCTGGGCAGCTGGGATTCTAGGCATGTACTACTGCGCCCCATTTGGCCCCGTCTCTCCTGCCCTGAGTGGAAGCTCCCCTGGGGCTAAGGATGCACAGGAGCCCAAGAGCTATAGTGGGTGGGCCTCCTGTCCCCTCCACCTTAGTTCCCCCACCTTGGCTCTCCACAAACTCCCCAAGACGCCCACATCTGGGACTCACCGCATTCCTTGAGGGGCTCATCTGACCAGTCCCGGCAGTCTCTGGCTGAGTTGCACACTTTGTCCAGGGGGATGCATTCACCGCTGTGGCATTTGAACTTGTTGGGCCCCTCACAAAGTGTCACTATGAGAGTCCAAGAGAACAGTCAGGGGCATCTGAGCTGCAGGAGCTTGCTTAACCCTCTATAGCATAATAATTCACTTACACAAGAATAAATATGAATGTATCCGTTAGTAAAACATGATAATTTTTTGTCAGTTCTGGGTACAGAATCCAGGGCCTTAGATCCACTAGAAGCATTCTACCACCGAGCTACACCCAGCCCAGTAATTGGTTACTGAGCACTGAGAACCTAACACCCAGTTCTAAAGTGAGACTGTCACCTAGAGCAGGAAGTCATTAAACTGAGGGCCCTGGATCAACAATGGCCCACTGCTTGTTTATTTAAATAAAGTTTTATTGGTACACAGCCACACCCATTCATTTACAGAAAGTCTGTGGCTGCTTTCAGAGTATGAAACAGCGTAGTTGTGTCAGAAACTCTGAACCTTGCAAGGCCAAAAATATTTATTATCTGGTGCTTTATGGTAAAATAATGGAGACTATTCTAGCAGGCTTTGACCCATCCTGCTAGCCTTCAAAGGAATCCTGAATTCTGGGGCTGGGGATTTAGCTCAGTGGCAGAGCACTTGCCTAGCACATGCAAGGCCTTGAGTTACATCCTTGGCCTTTGGCCCTAAAAAAAGAAAAAAATCCTGAATCTTGGCTTTATTGTTTCCTTATTTTTATTTTTTATTTTTTGGTGGTCAGGGCCTCATCATGTCACGTAAACACTCAACTCCTGAGCTGCATTCTCAGCCACTTCATTAATACTTCAGGGAAAAACATGGTGTATGATTTAGTTTGTTTTTGAAGCTTATAAAATAATTCCTCATAATCTTCAAACTGCTTCTTCATCCAACAGTAAGGTTGTAAGGTTCTCCCGTGTGAATGCTGGTAGCTGAAGCCTCATTTCCTGGCAGCATATTCCACCATGTGGCTACCCCACCAGGTTAAAGTCATTGATTGTGTACCCCCACATTCCCAGCAGCACTATTCCACAGCCAAAAGATGGAGGCAACCCAAGGATTCATCAAGGGGTGAATGTAATAGGATTCCTCAGCACAATCGATGGAATATTATTTGGCCTTAAAAAAGAAATTTGGACACAGACTAGAACATGGACCCTGAAGACATGCTCAGTGAAATAAGCCAGTCACAAAAGGACAACTACTACACAATTCCACTCACAGGGGGTCCACGAAGTCATCAGACCCACAGAGACAGACAGTATAATGGCAGGTGCCAGGGACTAGGGAGGAGGATGGGGAGTTAGCGATTAATGGGGACAGAGTTTCAGTTTTGCGAGATGAAAACAGCGTTGGAGATGGACAGTGATGATGGCTGCACAACAATGTGAATGTATTTAATGTCACCGAGCTGCACAGTTAGAAATACCTACGTGCTTGCTTGGCATGTGCCACGGCCCTACGTTCAATCTGCAGCACAACAGAACAAAAACAAGCCTGAGATGCTAATTATGTATGGTGTGTATTTTGCTATAAATAAATTAAAAAAAAAAAAAAAAAGAATCTCACACTGAGGAATCTTACGTGGCACCCAGTGTCTTGCTCCATGGTGCTCAGGGCACACTGCAGAGCCTAGTGCAGGACACAGTTGTCTCCTGAGGGCATTTCCAGGAGGAGAGCCACCTCGTGAATACAGGGAAGGGCTTCACAAGTGAAATTGGATCTTTTTATTTTGGGGGGTGGGCGGGTACTGGGGACTGAACTCAGGGGCACTCGGCTACTGAGCCACATCCTCAGCCCTATTTTGTGTTTTATTTAAAGACAGGGTCTTGCTGAGTTGCTTGGGGCCTCACTAAGTGGCTGAGGCTGGCTTTGAACTCACGACCCTCCTGCCTCAGCCTCCTGAGCCGCTGGGATGACAGGCGTGCGCCATCGCAGCCAGCTGAAATTGGATCTTATATACAACTGTGATCTCAGAGACAGAGGTCTGTGCGCATGGGGGTCTTGAAGTCACAGCTATCCTTATGCACATTTTCCAGATCAGTGGAGGTGAGGGTAAGGAGGATCAAGCCACTTGCCCAACAACCCACAGCTAGTGAGCAGGTGGGTGCCTTCCCTCATCTGAGACCCACAGTCCCCCAACATTTACAAACAGCAAAGCACTGAACGATGCTAACAGGAAACCAGGGCTCGGCTCACCATTGACGCAGCCGACTTCATCACTCATGTCCTTGCAGTCATGCTCCCTGTCACACTGCCGGCTACCATGGATGCAGGTCCCATCGGAGCACTGGAATTCATCAGGGCGGCAGGTGGCCACAGCTAAGAAAGAAAAGAATGTTCTGATTTTCCAAGGAGGGGCAACTGGAGAAAATGAAACACAGTGCTCTGCCTTTGTCCAGAGTTCTCCTTTCAACAGTTTCAGCCACATGTTCAACTGCAGTCTCAAAATATCAATGGCACACATACACAAGGGAATATTACTTGTGAATAAAATTATGGCATCTGCAGGTAAATGGATGGAGGGAGTTGGAGAATATCATGCTAAGCAAGAGAAGCTCATCTCAAAAAACCAGGGACCGAATGTTTTCTGTGATAAGTGGATCCTAATCCATATGGGGGATGGGGCATGGGATAAATTGGAGGAACTCTGGATGGTGTAAAGGGGAGGGGGGAGATGGAAAAGGGGTAGGAAAGATGGTGGAGTGAGGCGGACATCATCACCCTAGTTACATGTATGATTGCACAAATGGTGTGACTCTACTTCACACAGAAGTGCAAAATTCTCCTCCATTTGTGTCCGATGAATAGAAGAGGCTTTCTATGGTCATGTATAACTGATTAGTACTAATAAATAAATATATAATATATTAATGGAAAAATTATAAATATCAACAATTCTTTAGGTTTAAATTGTGCCCTGAGTATCACAATGAAGCCTTGTGCCATCCCATAGTAGCTAGCCCAGGAAGTGAGCCATCTTTTTTTCCAGTGTATCCATGCTGTATATGCTACTAGCCTGATGGTCTCTAAACAGCTACCTCGGTTATCAGATCAACTGTCACAGTACTGCAATGTTCTTATTCAACTAATCCTTATTTTCCTGAATAATGCTCCCAGAGTACTAGAATGGTGATGGTGACAATTTTGCTACTATATAATAATTACCCTATTATTAGCTATTGTTGTTAATCTTTTCCTCTGTATAACTTATAAATTAAACTTTTGGGGGGAGATACTGGGGTTTCAACCTGAGGCCTTACACATGCTAGGCAAGTGCTCTGCTACTGTGCTACACCCCGCACTTTATCTTATTTTGGAACACAGTCTTGCTAAGTTGCTGAGGCTGACCTCAAACTTGGGATCCTCCCATCTCAGCCTCCTATGCAGCTGGGATTACAGGTGTGTGCCACTGCACCCAGCCAGAACTCTCATTTTTAACTCACAGTATATCTCTGCATTAAGAAAAAAAAAAAAAGCAAGCCTGAATGTGCCTATATCAGAACATAAACCTGATGGCTGAAATGGCTGAAAAGGAGATTTTGGCTTTTATGGTCTGAATTCAGGGTAAGGTTATATGGCCATTCTATTCCTAGGTTTCCCCATCTGTAACGAGGGGTGGAGGAAGCCTGCTCATGAATTATGGGGGACAAATGAGTTTCTGTCAAGTTTTACAATAATCACACAGAATGCTATCGATCATTTTATAAAATGTGACTTTAAAAACCAGTGTAGGGCTGGGGGTGAAGCTCTGGACTTGTTTAGCCTGCACAAGGCCCTGGGTTCAATGCTCGGCACCGACAAAACCAAACATCGTAGCTACACCCACACAGTGCTTAACTCTGAACACCGCTGTGTGTCTGAGCATAGGTACGAAAACCCCCAGAAAAACGAAATAATCTTCTGGATACACAGTGGAGCTAACCAACGTGTTTAAGGAACCAAAACACTGAGCTAGATCCAGAGTCACGTTTTTTATCTGAACTCTCCAACACACAAACCACTGACCACGTATAGCTACTTAACTTTAATTACTTAAAATTCAGTAAAGTTGGGCTGGGGTTATGGCTCAGTGGTAGAGTGCTTGCCTAGCATGTGTGAGGCACTGGGTTTCTCAGCACCACATATAAATAAGGAAAATAAAGTCTATCAGCAACTTATATATATCAGCAACTTATATATTAAAAAACAAAATTCAGTAAAGTTCAAAATTCTGTTCGCCAGGTGAACATGCCACACTGGCCATGCAGGGTCCTGGGATATTGCTACCACTGCAGAAAGTTGCACTTGGTGGCCCTGGAACCTAATCAAAGCCTATAAAGATCGATGCAGTTACCCAACCCTATCAGGGGCAACCAGTGCATAGTGAAGTCAAGTGCTCAGCCAAAGGTCACAAAACTTAGTTGTTACCAACCAGACCTGAAACCCAGGATTCTTTCTGGGTCAATAATACTGCAACTTGTAGGTCGCTTCCTGTGGTGTTCTGCATGTGATTTGTCTCCTGCAGGTTACTGTGCTGGAAGCTTGAACCCAGTGTGGTGGAACCTCTAAGAGCTGGGGTATAGGGCTGGGGCTGTAGCTCAGTTGGTAGAGTGCTTGCCTTGCATTCACAAGACCCTGGGTTCAATCCCCAGCACCCCTGCCCCCCCCAAAAAAGAGATGGGGTATAAACCACTATGGAAAGCAGTATGGAGATTCCTTAGAATACTTGGAATGGAACTACTATCTGACCCAGCTGTCCCACTCCTCAGTTTATACCCAAAGAACTTAAAATCAGCATACTACAGTGACACAGCCACATCAATGTTTACAGCTGCTCAATTCACGATAGCTCAACTATGGAACCAACCTAGATGCCCTTCAACAGAGGAATGGAGAAATGGAAAAAGAAAATGTTGGGGGCTGGGGTTGTGGCTCAGTGGTAAGGTGCTTGCCTAGCCCATATGAAAAACTGAGTTTTATCCTCAGCACCACATAAATAAATAAATAAATAAACAAATATATAAATAAACAAATATATAAATAAACAAATAAACAAAAACAGGTCTACGGTTGTGGCTCAGTGGTAGAGTGCTTGCCTAGCTTATATGGGGTCCTGGGTTTGCTCCTCAGCACCACCTAAAGATAAATAAAGGTATTGTGTCTATCTAGAACTAAAAAATATATTTTTAAAAAATACAAAAAGTACAAAAAAAAAAAAAAGGAAAGAAAGAAAGAAAATATGGTACATACACACAATGAAATATTACTCAGCCTTAAAGAAAATGAAATTAAGGCATTTGCAGGTAAACAGAACTAGAGCATATCATGCTAAGTGAAATAAGCCAGTCCCAAAAAACCCTAAAACAGAATGTTTTTCTTCTTATTAGAAGCAGAAGCTGATCCATAGTGGGGCGAGGGGATATGAAATAATGAAGAAACTTTGTGTAGAGGGGAGGGAGGGGAAGAGTGGGGCTGTGGGGATGAGAAGGACGATAGAAAGAGACAGACATTATTACTATATATACATGTATGATTACAGTATTGGAACAACTCTGCACCCTGTTCAGCCAGAGGAATGAGAAGCTGTGCTCCATTTGTGTAGTATATGTCAAAATACATCTAAAATACTGTAAAATTAATTAATTAATATAAAAAAAAACAGACTTGGTGCAGAGTGAGAGCGCATCACTAGCCTCTTCTTTGTCTCTGACTTCCTGCCTCACCTGTAATCTCTCCCTCTTATACACACTCCCTGTGCCATCTGCCAAGCTGATGCCAATGCCTTAAGTTCCCAGAACTACATTAAATAAACTTTTTCATTTATAAAGTTTCCAGCCTCAGGTATTTTGTAAACCAAATGAACTAGCATACTCCCCTTTCAGAAAAAGATTAGCATGCCTGTAACCCCAGCTACTTGGGAGGCTAAGGCAGAAGGATTACAACTTTGAAATTTCAGAAGCTTAGTGAGATCCTAACTTAAATAAAAAAAATAAAAAAAGGCTGGGCACCGTGGGGCACACTTGTAATCCCAGTAACTCAGAAGCTAAGGCAGGAGGATTGTGAGTTCAAAACCAGCCTCAGCAACTTATTGAGGTGCTAAGCAACTCAAAGCCTGTCTCTAAATAAAATACAAAAAAGGGCTGGGGATGTGGCTCAGTGGTTAAGTGCCCCTCAGGTCAATCCCCGGTACCACAAAAACATAAAAGACAATTCTGCTCTGGGGACTACTTCCTCCTTAATGGGATCAGTATGACCACAAGAAGCAGCACAGAACAAACTCGGGCTAGGGAGGGAGCTCCAGGGTCAAGTGCTCGCCTGCCACAGGCAAAGCCCTGGGTCACCTCCAGTACCACCAAAACGAAAAAAAAAAGAAATAGAACCAACTTTCTTGCTGGGGAATTCAAAATTATTAAGCACCCACAGCTAGCAGCAGGCCCCCCGCCTAGGGGACAGTGACAAGACCCCCTGCACACATACTGCAGTTCTCCTCGTCGGACTTGTCCTTGCAGTCAGGGCCGCCGTCGCACCTCCAGCTGCCGTGGATACACTCGCCGCTGCCACAGTGGAACTCAAGGGAGGAACAGGGGCCGGAGTCCCGCTGGGGGCTGGATGTGTCGCGGCCCCCGCAGCGCTGAGGCCACTCGTCTGAGCCGTCCTCGCAGTCGGGGTCACTGTCGCAAGCCCACAGCTCCGGGATGCAGGCGGAGCTGTTGCAGCGGAAGCTGGCGGGGCCGCAGGTGGTCACCGGGCAGGAGCCCTCGTCCGAGCCGTCCAAGCAGTCTCGGTCCCGGTCACAGACAAAATGCTGCGAGATGCACTTGCCGTCGTGGCAGCGGAACTCGTCCTGGGAGCAGGTCTTGGCAGCTGCGGAGATAGACAGGAGGCGGCCACCCTGTCACCTGGGTCACCTGGGGTTGTGGCTGAGCGCAGGCCCCACCACGCTCTGCGGCATTGTGAGCAGCCCTGGGTCTGATCCCAGGCACCAAAAAACAAGAAATAAACATACAGCAGGCCTGCTCCCTGATCCACGGCCTCACTTTCCACAGTTCTGGTGCCTAGCACTGAATCTAGCCTAAAAATATTAAATAGACCAGCAGCTCGGGAGGCTGAGGCAGGAGGATGGCCAGTGCAGAGCCAGCCTCAGCAATAGCCAGGGCTAAGCAACTCAGTGAGACCCTGTCCCTAAATAAAACCCAAAATAGGGCTGGGGCTGTGACTCAGGGGTTGAGTGACCCTGAGTTCAATCCCTGGTACCAAATATATATATATATTTCACACACACACACACACACACACACATAATGGAAAATCTAGAAATAAACAACCCATAAGTTTTGTTTCTCCTCTGTGTGTGTGCAGCTGGAGGAGATCCCATTGAGGGCCTCACCTGTGGCAGGATGGGGCTCTACCACTAGCCACAGCCCAGTTCTTGTAAGCTTTAAATTCCTTTTAATACAGTACATTTTTATTATTTCATAATATTTTTATTATTTGAAAATATTGTTTCATAATATTTTAGAATTATCATATTATATATTACTTCATAATTTATTATATAAATTTATATAAAATTCATTAAAAATCATGTTGTTAGATTATTTTATTTTATGAGAAATAAAATATGTTTATAAGATTATTTTATTACATATAATGTGATTTTATAATATGAGGTATACTGTCATGTATAACTGAGCTCAGCCTCACAGGGTGGCTGGCAGTGGTCATGGTGGCTCACAGCTGCATGGGCCAGGTGGCAGGCACTCATCAAGAACAGCCTGAAGCTGGGCATGGTGGTGCACACCTGTAATCCCAGGCTCAGGAGGCTGAGGGAGGAGGATCGCGAGTTCAAAGCCAGCTTCAGCAACTTATCAGGGCCCTAAGCACTCGATGAGACCCTGTCTCTAAATAAAATACAAAAAAGGGCTGGGGATGTGGCTCAGTGGTTAAGAGCCACTGAGTTCAATCCTGGGTCCCCCCTCAAAAAAGAACAGCCTGAGGGTGCTCGGCAACCCTGGGACAGGTACTCGCTCCTCCACTGCAGTGCTCCTTGTCATAGTGGAATTTGAGAGGTGAGATACAGCCCCCTGGGGAACAATGCTTGTCTACTTCCCACTCCCCAGAGCCCTGGTGGGCTCTGGCACAGGCTGGACCTGTCACACACAAATGGCCTGGGGTGGGCAAGCTACTGGGACACACTTACGACAGTTTTGCTCGTCTGAGCCATTCTCACAGTCCACTTGGCCATCGCATTTCCAAAAGTTAGGAATGCAGCGGTTGACAGGGCCCCCACAGTTGAAGTCCCCCGATTTGCAGGTGACGGACACTAAGGGAGAAAAAAGATTAAACCCTAACTCGAATGCAGATCAGCTGGTATCCCAAGGCCCACCTTTGTCAAAGAAAACTCCAGAACTTTTCAGAAAGTGGAGGCCAACCCTAACTTTATAGCTCAAAACGAAAGTCATGCAATGGTATTTGTTAAAAATTAGACATTGAGGGGCTGGGGTTGTGGCTCAGCAGTAGAGCGCTCGCCTAGGACGTGTGAGGCCCTGGTTCGATCCTCAGCACCACATAAAAATAAATAAACAAAATACAGGTATTGTGTCCAACTACTACTAAAAAATAAATATTTTTTAAAAAATAGACATTGGGTGATGCAAAGATTTTGCAGGAGCTAGAGGTGGTGGCTGAGCAGCACTGTGAAGGCATTAACGCTTCTGAGCTATTTGCTTTATATTAGGGGAAATTTACCTCAATAAAGATATGGCCAGAGAGGCTGAGGTAGCACTCAGTGGTACAGCATGTGTTTAGTTAGCAGGCATGAGGCCCTGGGTTTCAACCTGGCACCACACACATTCAAAAAAAAAAAAAAGAAGGAAGAAAACTCTAGTACAAGCTGAGGAGCCTTTATCTGAAATGCAAATGCTTGGAATCAGAAGAGTTTCAGATTTGGGGTTTTATAATATTTGCATATATATAATGAGATGTCTTGGGGATGGGACCCAAGTCTAAGGAAATCCATTGATGTTTCCACATACACCTTATATGCACACCTTATATGAGGGTAATTCTATATACTATCTTTAGAGCACCTGTGTTTTGACTGTGACCCTTCACATGAGGTCAAGTGTGGAATTTTCCACTTATATATCAACACCCAAAAAGTTTTGGATTTTGCTGGGCAAGGTGGTGGTACACACCTGTAATCCTACCAACTTGGGAGACTAAAATAGGGATATCACAAGTTCAAGGCCAGTCTCAGCAATTCATTGAGGCCCTAAACAACTCAGTGAGACAGGTGTCTCAGTAAAATACAAAAAAGGTCTGGGGATGTGGCTCAGTGGTTAAGTACCCATGAGTTTAGTCCCTGGTACCAAAAAAAAAAAAAAAGGCTGGGGATATAGCATTTCCAGGTTCAATCCCCAGTACCTAATAATAACAATAAAGGTTGGATTTTGAAGGATTTCAAAACATGGATTTTTGGATAAAGGATGCTCAACCTGGAACATCTCTCCCCATCTCCTAATTTGTGGTTCATTCATTCACTTGGCCACTTTTGTACAGGTCATTATTAAAAAGAGTCAGGAGGGGTTGGGATGTAGCTCAGTGGTGGAGTCGGGGTAGATGGTGGGGTATGCTCAAAGGAACTCACTGCATGTCTCCTGGGACTCGTCAGAGCCATCCTGGCACTCGGGGCTGCCGTCACAGACCCACTTGTAGGAGATGCATTTTCCATCCAGACATTGAAACTCGTTTCTTCCACACTTGCCTTCCACTATGAGAGAAGAAAAGGGGAAGAAGAAAGTTGCTCAAAACTAGAATCGGAAACTGACCACATTTTGCATTTCTGTTTCCTGTCAACCAAAGAATGAAACAGAAATGTAATCCCATCCATCATAGTCCGATTCCCAGGAAATTAAACAGAATGAAATATCAAAACCCCAAGGACAGTGGAGGATGCAATGAATAAACTCAAAAGAAAGACTTGCCAATCACATTGAAGGTTCTGACACCCTGGCTATTGAATGCAAAGTACAGATTCATTGAGATATAGGAGCAAAATATTAGAACTTCTGTGCACAGAAATAAAGAAATTAGCTAGGTGTGGTGGTACGCGCCAGTAATCTCAGTTGGCTTGGGAGGCTGAGGCAGGAGGATCTCGAGATTGAGTTCAGTGTGGGCAATTTAGTAAGGCTCTAAGCAACCTAGCAAAACCCTGTCTCTAAATAAAATATAAAACGGGCTGGGATGTAGCTAAGGAGTTAAGCACCCCTGGGCTCAATCCCTGGCACCAAAATAAATAAATTAATTAAATTAAATAAAAAAGGGCTGGGGATATAGCTCAGTGTTTAACTGCCTCCTGGGTTCAATCCCTGGTACCAAAAATAAAATAACATAAACTTCCATAGGAAAGTAAAAACTTAAATTTTTAGACAAAAGCGAAGATACTGTAAATACCCAGGAAATTTCCCCAAGTATATGATGTTTGTATATTTAAAAAGAGACCAAAATGCTAATATCTGCATATAGTTTTGATTTAGCTAGGTGTGGTGGTGCACACCTATAACCCTAGCTACTTGGGATGCTGAGGCAGGAGGAGCCAAGTTCAAGTTGCCAGCCTGTGCAACTTAGCAATACTCAAAATTAAAAATAAAAAAAGGAAGGAGCGGGTTGGGACTGTAGCTCAGTGGTAGAGCACTTGCCTACCTTGTGGGAAGCACTGGCTCTAATCCTTAGCGCCACATAAAAATAAACAAATAAAATTAAAAAGGCATTCTGTCCATCTACAACTACAAAAAAATAAAGGACTGTAGTGCTCAGTCCATACCCATACCAAAAAAAAAAATACATATATTTATATATCTAAGATATATATATTTCTATATTTATATGTGAACTGGAATCAGGCAAACATTCACAAATCAACAGCACAGTTGGCCTTTCAAATCTATAGGTTCCTCAGCCACAGATTCAACATGTTGGAAATATTTTGAAAAACATGTTTTCTGAACTTATGGACTTCAGTGGTAGATTGCTTGCCTAGTATGTATGAGGCCCTGGGATCCCCCCCAGAAACACACACACACACACAAACACACACACACACACACACTTTTATGGAGCATGGACCATTTGGGAAAAAGAAGTCTTTAGGGGAAGCTATGTGAAGGCAAGACCTTGGGACCAATGCTCAAGGCACATCCTTGGCTAAAATAAAGAATTGTGGTTTCTACCAAGATTCAGAGCCATTTTCAGATGAAGATGACCCACTACCCCAAAGAAACAGAAAGAAGTTGCCCAATACATCTTTCCAGGCCACGAATCTGTGGCCAGTACTCCTCCTCCCATCTCAGTTCCTCTCAGACACATCCACCTGCAGATCTGTAAATTACCAGTCAGAAACTTCCTCTGCCAGCAAGAGAGAGATGCCAGGAGGTCACAAGATTTCACCCCTCTACCCGGCCCTCAACACTAACAATGACAACATCAAAGAAGGTCCTTCCTTTCACAGAACTGCATGGAAAGTGCAGCGTCATCAGTTCTGATGCTGGTTCACCTAAATGTTTTACAACTTCAAACCCCACTGTGGTCCCTTCTGAGGCACTTCCCCTCCTCCTTTGCTCAGTTAACCCCCATTGTTTGTTCAGGTCAAGATGGATGCTAACCTGCTACAATAAAAAACTGGGTTAGGACTATGACCTCCAAGTATATTTTTTTCTCACCCTCAGAATTAAAACTCTTTGAGGAGGGTTGGGGATACAGTTCAGTTGGTAGAGTCTTCCCTCGCATGCACTGGGTTCAATCTCCAGCACCACCAAAAAAAAAAAAATTTTTTTTTTTTGAGAATAAGGGATGTTATTGTCATTCTTGCATCATGATGCAGTCTCAGCCCAATTCCTGACATGGACACAATCACTGCATTCAACAGGTATGCACAGAATCATGACCTAGGAAAAAGCAGGGGTGCCTCAGTGGTAGAACAAGTGCTTAGCATACATGAAGCCTTGGTTTCTATTCCTAGCACCAAAAAGGAAGAGAAGAAAAGAGAAAAGAAAAATTATGGCCTGGTTCATCACCTGACTTGGATAAAAGGGCTGCTCTTCCACACTTGAAAGGGTAATAGGACAGAATCTATCAAAATTTAAAATGCCAAGTAAATCCTTATGATTCTGCAGAAATACTAACACATATGCACATAGATAGTAAGTTCAAGGATACCCAGTGAATCCTTCCTTTATATAATAGTGAAAAGAAGGAAGAACTGGCTGTAATTTGAAAATACTATTGCAAATTCAGTGGTGCTCCCTTTGAAAGGTGAGGCCTGATGCTTTTCTTCAGGAGTGTGTACTAGACATTGAGGGACTTGCTTCTACCAAATAGGAAAAATTAAGGTGATGGGGAGTCATTTCAGAGCCTAGGTCACCAAAGGCACTGTAGCTTCTTGCATCTCTTACTGCACGGGATGTCAGATGCTTGTCATGAGGTCACTCAAGCAGTCCCAGGGAGAGCTCCATACAACCAGTAAATAAAGCCACTAGGTGGTCCTTTAACCCTAGCCAAGCCTTCCTATACCTACAGCCCCTGCAAATATGGTTTTTGCAGTGCATTTTAACAGCAACTTGGTGAAAGTCCCCATGCTACAACCATTTAGCAATGCTGCTTCCAAATTTCTGACCTACAGAAACAACAAAACAAAAATGTCTTTATTTTTGTTGTTGTTGTTTGATAAATTGGGGATTTATCACTGAGCTACACTGCCAGTTTCTTTTTCTTTTCTTTCTTTTGAGACAGGGTCTCACTAAGTTGCCCAGGCTGGCCTCAAACTTGCCATCTTCCTGCTTCAGTCTCCAGAGTTGCTGGGATTATAAATGTGTGCCACCACAACTGACTGTAATGTGTTGTTTTAAGGCACTAATTTTTGGAGGAACTTGCTATGCTGCAATAGATAATTAAAATATAATCTAATGTGAAAGGTATCTCTAGTGGGTTAGAAGCAGAGCTCAGTGGCAGAACAACTGCCCAGCATGCACAAAGCTGTGGATTCCATCTGCAGCACTGCAGGGAAAAAGTCTATCTATAGACATCATTATATACATATGTAAGCATAGTATATATGAAATACAGAGCATCTATAGAATATTATATAGATTTACCTATATCTATGTTTATAACCATACATCTATTATATGGCTATCATAAAAATATCACATTACACACGCATTTACATTTCCATGTCCGTTAAATATTTGTAATACAGATTCACGCTTATATTTATACCTATGTATCTATTACATATATAATAGATTTACATGCATTTATATTGATATTACATATATATTTTATAGATATTTTATGTTTTATAGATCTCTATGTAGATATATATAATATAGGATATGATTTGACTATGATTCAATCCATCCAAATTCATATTGGAATTTTCCTCCTAGCAACTAGGACACTGCGGCCAGCCAATGATAGCAAGTAGAGGTCAGCCCAGGCAACTTAACCAGACCCTGTGTCAAAATTAAAAAAAAAAAACAGGGTTGGGGTTGTAGCTCAATGGTATAGCACTTGCCTAGCATGTATGAAACACTGGGTTCGATTCTCAGCACCGCATATAAATAAATAAATAAAATAAAGGTCCATTGACAACTAAAAAAAAATAATAATTAAAAAAGTAAGTAAAATCAGGGGCTGGGGCTGTAGCTCAGTGGCAGAGCACTTGCCTAGCATGTGTGAGGCACTGGGTTCAAACCTTAGTACCACATAAAAATAAATAAAATCAAGGTATTTGTGTCCAACTACAACTGGAAAATAGATATTTTTTTTTTTTAATTTTTTTGAAAGAAAATCAAGTGAAATCAGGGGATGTAGTTCTGTGACAAAGCAACACTGAATTCAATTCTCTGTATCAAAAAAAAAAAAAAAGGAAAGGAAGGAAGGAAGAGGAAAACCCCTCCCGGTGTGCGGATGTGAGAACTAGAGGGACTTTGAAGCGATTGGGCTGGTGAGAGGGAGTCACGCAGTTCTCGCGAGACTGGATCAGTTATGGGAGCCGGCGGTTATAAAGCAAGCTGCCCCCCCAGGCTTGTCCCCTCCGCATGCGCAGTGTGCACACTTTGCCTTTCAGCTTTTTCCTCGCTGCGCGAGGCCCGGGCAGGTTGAGGCGGTCCTGTGCTGGCCTTTCAACCTTCAGAACCGTGAGCTAAATAATTTTCCTTTATGTACAATATATTTTAATATATAGAATATCTACATGGATATCCAAGTAAAATATATGATAATGTGACTCCTCCACAGCCATCGAAAGGGTGACGTCAGTCATCCACCAGGGGACACGGGCGGCCCACAACGTACTACGCCGGGAAAAGCCAGGTGCAGAAGTTTGTAGTAGTTCCCAGTAATCCGCTATATCTGGGTGTCACATAGGAAATCACGGCAAGGGGGCTTCTTTTTAGTATTCGCTTTAGGAGTGTTTGGTTTTAAGAATGCTTTATTCTTGAACCTTAAAAAAAAAAAAAAAAGAAAGAAAGAAAGAAAAAAAGAAATCGCACAGGTGGCTGGGTGCAGTGGCGCATGCCTGTAATCCCAGCAGTTTGGGAGGCTGAGGCAGGAGGCTGAGGCAGGAGGATGGCGATTTCAAAACCAGCCTTAGCAATTTAGCGAGGCGCTACGCAACTCAATCAGACCCTGTCTCAAAATACAAAAAAGGGCTCGGGATGTGGCTCTGGTTAAGTACCCCTGAATTCAATCCTTGGTACCAAAAAGAAAAAG